CTGTTTCAAATCCATGTCACAGCTCAGCTCAGCCAGAGCCTCTTCCTCTCCTGCTGAAAGTCCATCTTTGTGTGTCACGGGGAAGGAAAATGGGTTTCTCACCCACTGGTTTGCCATTGTCTCCTCTCCAAAATACTCTCCAAACTGCTCGCGCATCCCCTCCAAATGCGCGCAGATCACCTGCTGTAAAAACTCCACCTTCAGCCCCGCTCTGGCCAAAACATCCTCTAAGGTGGGAAACATTTCTACTGATCCCCGCTCCACACGCGCACCCCACAGTTCCAACTTTTTTCTAAATCCACAGAGTTTATCGTGTGCGTAAAAGACGTTGCACTCTTTGCCCTGCAGACAGATGTTCAGTGTGTTTATCTTTTCGAAGACATCCGAAAGATAAGCAAGCTTTGCAACCCACTTCATGTCCTCCATGTGTTTTACCAGTGGAGTGTTGATTTCAGCGAGGAAAAGAAGGACTTCCTCACGGAGATCACAAAGGCGCGTGAGAACCTTTCCTCGGGAAAGCCAACGGACCTCCGAGTGCAGAAGCAGCTGTTTAAAGTGCGCGCCCATCTCGTTGCAGAGGATGGAGAAGAGACGGGCATTCATGGCGCGTGACTTTATAAGATTAACAATTTTTACTGCCTCGTCCAGCACAGTGCGCAGCTCTTGGGGCATCCTCTTAGTTGCCAAGGCCTGACGGTGGATTATGCAGTGCGTCCAAATAGCAGCTGGGGCGACCTCTTGCACCTTTTTTACCAGACCACTGTGCCGGCCTGTCATTGCCCTTGCTCCATCAGTGCATATTCCACAGCAGCGGCCCCAATCCACATTATTTTCCCGCATGAAGTCATTCAAAACCTTGAAAATTTCTTCTGCTGTAGTGCGCGAGGGCAGAGGGTGACAAAACAAAAACTCCTCATGCACATTTAGCTCTTTAACATAACGCACGTACACCATTAATTGAGCACAGTTGGCCACATCAGTCGTCTCGTCCAGCTGAAGGGAGAAGGAGGGGCTTTCACGAACACTGTCCACTACCTGTTGCCGCACATCTGCGCCCATATGTGAGATTCGGCGTTGGATGGTGTTGTCAGACAACTGGATAACATTCAGTTTGGCGGCAGCAGCTTCTCCCATCATTACTGAACACATGTCCTTAGCAGCAGGAAGGAGTAAAGTTTCACCGATGTTGTGGGGTTTCCCCGTCTTTGCAATGCGTAAGGCCACCCGATAAGATGCTTCGGTTGCCTTAGCGTTAACAGTACTGAACGTCTCTATTGTTTTTTTTCTGTGTGCACAGCTCCTTCACCTTCCTCTCAAAAAACTCCCGCGGCTTGGTGACTAAACTTGGGTGCTTTGTTTCAATGTGACGCCGGAGCTTACAGGGTCTCATGCTATCATTAGCCAGAACCTCCTTGCAGATTACACATTGCGGCCTTGGAGCATCATCGGGAGCAGTCCAGGAAAATCCAAAATTTAAGTAGTCGTGGTCATACTTCCTCTTTTTTCTACTTACGCCAGAGCTTGTCTCCCCTGCCTTTTTCTTTACTAAAAATTTGTCCATTCTTTCTCTCACATAAGTAGTCACCAAGCAGATAGCTTCTTTTTCGGTTTATTTTTTCCCTCGCACCGCGCCTCCCCTAAGGTGCTCTGGCGCCCCCCAGGGGAGGCGCGCCTCACACTTTGAAAACCGCCGCATTAGAGTGATGATGTTGCCAAGCAACTAGAATGTTAGGCTCCGCCCCTAACCTGGGGGAAGGGCTTGGCAACATCATCAAAGGAACCTGTTAGCCATACAAGGTTGGTGGTTAACTCTGGAACAAATAGAACTCTGGAGACTCCTGATGACTACCAGACACCATAAGCCAGGGCTGGGCAAACCTTTTGGCTCAGGGGCCACAGTCGCCTTTCAGAGGGGCCGGGACAGCACCAGAACCATATATATAAATCAGAAACATAAAAAAGTGGTTAAAGTATTAATTTTTACGTGCACTTGTAGTGGGAGAAGTGTTGATCAACTTTTCTTTGCCATTGCATTAAAGCCTGGTGTCAGATTTGGGGCAATTATCAAACCAGCTCTGATAACTAAAATGAATAATCTAATTCAATAAATAACCCTGTTACAATTTAATAATAACAATTTAATAATAATCCTGGTGGAGTGTGTAAGGTAAAATAATTAGGGATTCCATGGCTAAAATCTCCTCCTTATCTCAAAGTTGTGACCAATCCCTCTTATGAAAAATAAAAGCTGAGCAGTGTTGATATCATTACAATGATATCTATGATATCCTGTGCCAACAAATATAATGTAAATGACTCGACTTTTTTTGTTGTTGCTGTTTAGCTTGCTAGCAAAGTCCTCCCCAATTAGCTCAAAGTAGCTAGTCAATCTCCAGCAGTTTTTTTCTCATATTTGCTTGTTTCTAAAAATATAAACCGACATCTCTAAAGGAAACTCTTTGAAAAACCCCATTCACAAAAATGCTACTTCTCTTTGCTAATTAGAATGCCAACAAATTACTTGCCTTTGCACTTGATTCTCGGGTGGCGGTGAGTCGGTTGAAGGTGTTTTGCTGACCTGGCTGGTCAACTGGTTGGTAGCTTAATTAGCATGCTTGGTGGGAAAGTGAAGCCGGACATTTCATTCCTTTAAAACCGCAACAGTGTCTTGGCAGATAAGACGCCGGCGGCGTTTGGTTGGACTTCAGTGAAGTATTAAAAAAATTTTAATACTCGGTCCCACTGTGTACTTTTCTTTTTTTTTTGGGCCTGTTCATTGTGGCACATAGGTTTAGAGTCAAAGAGACCAGGACTAGCTCGTGAAGAGCAAAACTCAATGTATCACTCCGCCTAATGCGCCACCTGGTGGCACTGCCAGGCATTACAGGACAAGGCCAAATCAATGCACTCACAATCATTTATGCGATTCGGTACATATCTTCGGCGGGCCGATGTGTCCCCCTGGATGTAGTAGGCCCACCCCTTCCATAAGGGATACTAACCAGGTCTTATGGTTTATGGTAGTGTAAGACTGATTATTTTTGTTGGAAGCCTGAGAATACAGCAGAGAAATGATCAGAGTACAATTGTGTAATTTATTCAGTCTGGCTCGAACTGACAAAGCTCCCTGAGGATTTCTATCAGAAAATAGCCCAGATTTCCAGGTGTGATGGACATGTATCT